ATCAGAAAAGACCACTCTGGAGTGCCTGAACGGCAAACCGAAGCCCACTTCTTGCCCTACTATATCAATGAATCATTCGAGCTCTCTGCTTGAATGCCAGACATCTGGCTTATCAGAAGTCGTCACGACGAGATATGGTAGTGATGACTGTCTGTTGACCCCCAGGACGGCCCTCCCGATGACGCCGGACCCCCCTCTGCAGCACACACGGCATCGAGGAGTCGGCACAGACTGACGTGCCGGACATCACGACGCCATGGAATCTGCGCCGACGTGCCTGGTACCCCCAATCCCGCGGTACTACTACCACATTACCAATGGTATGCCCGGCACCCCGGAGCTAGAATTCTCAAAACCATGGTTCCAACTCCCCGGGCATCGTCTAATAGGAGACATCAGTAGACTTAACCAACGGCCTGATGGTGAGATCAGTGATACAAAGACGATAGTCTTGGTCCATCGGCCGCATCATCAGACCACCACACGCGGAGAATTTCGACGAGAAGCCCCTCATTACCAGGTCTCGTCTGCCAGTATAGAATCCAGTCAGTATTGGAACGGAAGGGAAACAAATTACGCATCCTGTAGTTGCCCTCATGCTACTCATGTATAGCCTGAGATTTATGCATCTAGTCCTTCTCGCCAAATCAATTTTCCTTCTTCACGGAGAAACAGTTCCACAGTATTGATATTCTTTGACGCCCTTGGTGGTCTTGTTAGGCGCCACGCCCCCTTGACCTTTGATACGTTCTTCCCAACAGAGATTGTAGATTTCTCGCTCGCCCAACCATGGGAATACTTGCAACGAAGTGGCTCAGTTATGTTTTTAAAGCAAAGCTTCCGTCTCCTCCTCTATAGGATAATACCTTTGCCGTGTCTGATCTGTATTTTGCTAGCGATATAGATTCCTCATTGCAAATCGGCTCGGGTATTCGGGGATAAGGTGGCCGTAATCAAACGGTCGTACCCGATCTCGTATCCAAGTTTTTGTCTTTACCGCGATTTGGTCTTCCAAGTCTATATGGGCCTTCTTAAGCCGGGCTTGACTCTCTTTTTCGGCATGAGGCAACGCTTTGTAACTCCCCACTTCAACGCCTCAGTCACGCACGCATCGCACATTCAAGGGCAGTTTGGGGTCCTCAAGAGCGAAGGAATTTTAAGAATGATTCTTTTTCATCTTTTTCGGAGGTTTTTGACTGACGAACTAATGATACTAGCCGCAGGACCATGAAACGAAAGTTACAGAGCCGCTGCAAGGGTCTGCTTCGAGCAATTTCTGCCTAGCCATAACACATACTTGTATAACGGGCAACTGCTTGTCACCCAGATGACTCAAGTCCAAGCTAGGGAGCGGCGAGCCGAGTGCCCATCATCTGGCTCTGCATAAGAGACGGCCTTTCACCCGAGGCATAAATAGCTCCAATCTCACTTTGCCTTCGCGTCAACCGCGATCTGCAACTCCTTCAGCAGTTCTGCTGCCTCCGCGATCGTGACCGTATCTGAGGGCTTGGGCCCATTGGCTACTATTTCATTGAAAGTCTTGATCATGTCATCGGTTGCCTTGTTTCCAGACATGTTTGTCGTCGGGCGACGGGCTATCGAGGTAGCTTTTGGGAAGCTGGGACAACGTGGGAGGAGTTTTTGGGGGCTTTTGACGTTGGCGGATGGCTCGAGGTTTTTGTCCAAATATGGAGTATAGATAAGGAATTGTGGCAGTGAGTGCAGTGTCGAGACAACGGGTTGATCTCTGCAGAAGATTCGAGGCAAGGAGTCTGATACTTTTCTGGGAGAGAAGCTGTGAAGAAGAACGAGGATTACGGGGCTGGACATTGGGTCTTATAATCGGTAGGTTCGAGATCTGGAACCTCGCAGCAAGGTAGACATCATGGATGGAGGGCTGAGAGGAGAGAGCAAGCTGCTGTGAGCAAGTAGGACGCTGAAGTCAATGGTAATACCGCCAAAACGATTCAATGAACAGTGGTAGATGGAGTTGTCGAAGAAGATAAAGGGCGAAGGGGGGTTTCATCAGGCGCAGTGTTCAAAGTCCGTTGCGTCGTTTTGCATTTGGTATTTAGGTCGGCAATCCTGTGCTACTCGGAGATGAACGGCCTTTACCCAAATGAAACCGAGGAACGTCCATTCTCATTCATGGAGGTTCGCCAACGGGCTCTGGGGCTACACAGAGGCGGTTACATCATTAGCAAAGCGTCTAAGACAGTGGTCATGGCGGGCCTGTCGATTGCCGCAAACGCATGAACGCCTGACCCGTGCGCCTTTTCTACACCGCATCAAACTCAGCGTACTGAAGGTAATGATTTCTATTTGAGGTGACAGCTCTTTTTGAAGATAATGACTCCTATTGAGGGTAATGGCTGTGTTACGAGAACCGCTTCCAGAATAATACTGCCGGACCATAGCAAATATAGAACCAAAATCTTATGAGCATTAGGGCAGAGAAACCAAAACAAATAGCAAATATAAACCAAAATAACTCGATATAAGTACGCGCGATAGATAGTATGCTAAATACCCAGCGGCTTGGATTACTTAATATCAAGACGACTTGGCTACGGGATGAGGAGTAGCGGGCCGACTGACCATGATCTGGTTATTTACAGGGAACGACCTGCTTTCTGTCGTGTAGCTTCAATTTCCCTCTTGGTCCGAATTCTTGTTGTCCCATTCCTCTAGAAGAATATTTATTTCCGCGTTCATGTTCTCGATAATGCTGTCGTCTACGACTTTGTGATCCGCTATCTGTTCCTCCACGACCTTTATTTTATCGCGAACAATTTGCAGGCTTTCCGCCTTGAATTTATCGTTCCCGTCTTGACGTTTCTTTATATGCGCTTCAATTCTGGCAGCTGTCACTTCAAATTTCTGCGCCTTTTCAGCCAGGTCTTCGTTGCTCGCCATTGTCCAGGTTTTCAGAGGCTGAGAAGCGATAGAGGGGGACGCGATTGTCCTCTCTATTGGCGAATTAGGACCGCTAGCTTGGTTGTTATTTGCTGTTGGTCAAGCTGCTGCGCTGAACGGAGTAGATGTGGTTCAGTTCTTTCGTAGGGTGTCCTGTTGGTATGCTTTCTTAGATCAAGCGGCGGTGTGTGAATTATTTGAGGTAATGATCTTAAAGTGCTTGCAGCAGAATCTTAAAGATGTAAATGGGAGGTCGCTCACGAGTTCTTATAGTCGATAGCCTCGGGACCTAGGACCTGAGAGCAAGGCATTGTGGAAGAGAGACTACAGGAGTCAGCTCCTTGGGATCGGCTGGACATGAGAAGTGGCAGCAGCGTCATGCGGTTCTATGAACAGCAATAGATGGATTTATTGGACGATGCTGAATGACCGAATCAGATATAAACGCACAAAGGCGGAAAATTGACCACACAGGCGTCTGAGTGAGTGTTTGTGGTAAAGCCCTTTGACTGCTGCAAACATGGGTGCATGCCTGATCAGTGTGCTTTGTCCGCATAACACCAAACTCGGCCCATGGCATGATCCGGTATAGAAGATCATGCGGATATGAGAATAAAAGTGATGTTATTCTGAGACACCCAGTATTCAAACATTCAAGGTCTCTCATCCTGTGATCTCAAGATTGCTTTTCGCTAGTTAGTAAAGGGGGGTGGTGCTGATATTTGCATCGCTCTCAGATAATACCGCCCAGCTATCACAATACTCAAGAGGAAAGGACTTGAAAACGCCACCCCAGTGTTGTTCCCATATCATCTTCCATAAGATAATGCCTCAGTCGTGTTCGAACCATATGTTACCGGCGGTCTAGATTGCCCGACTCCACAACTAGTCGAGTACTTCACCCATGATTTCCAGTCAAACTCTTTTTCGGTCGGTCCTATTGCCTTGATTTCCTCCAACAACTTCTCTCGGTTTGCTAATTCTTCTTTCAGCTTTTCATACCAGTCTGCATTCTTTCTGTCGCCCTTGGCCTCCTCTGTATTAACCCGTGTCCGCGAAGCAGTAACATAACGGCCTGCACGTCTTATATCCCTGATCAATCTGGCCTCTGCAGCAGGTTTTTCCTTGATTTCGTGGGCTGTTTTTCCGCATCGATTGCATAAGCTGCCCCTACTTGACCAAAATCCATTCCAGCAAAGTCAATGCGGCCATCTTCGTCGTAGTAGTTGGGCTTGGGATGTGCCGAGTTGTCTGAGGAGCTTTCAGGCATGTTTAAATTGCTCCAATAGCTAGCTTAAGGGGCTTTTAGAGTTTGAGGTGGAGTGAAAGTTGGTGCGATGTCACTGTCTTCTGGCGTTGGATCCGAGTACTATCGTCTTGATAAATATCCTTAATGCCGATTAGATCTGGCGCTGAGCTGGCCGAGCGAAGTTGAAATCTGATATAGGTATCCGGCAAAAACCTTTACGAAACAGAAACAGCCTTATTTTAGTGAATGAGGATAATATGTATTACACAAGTATGAAAAAACTCATCACGGAAGATCAGGATGGACATCTTACGTCGTGACTGGTAGGTGTTTGACTTGGAACCTCGTGGGAACGCATCGTGAGCAAGTGAATTAATGCTGAGTAGGTCGCTTTTGGTCAGTAGAAACTTGGAAACAGGTAGAACAAAGTCAAAGAGGTGGAATGAGCAGTGGCATAGAAATGGGGTTTGGAGGATAAAGACAGGAGTCGGAACGAATATGCTCTCTGGACAATAGCCACCCAACTTCGTCTGATTATTCCTGTCCAATGGTCTCGAATCGACGTGACCGTTGCTCCATGTAAACCTTTGATAACGGATTTTCCATGGGTGAAGCCTTGCAAGGTGGTCTCTTGTCATTCAATGGCGGTAGAAATTAGGCGCCTACACTATTGTCCATGGTAAGCGGTTTTCAACCATTGACATACACAGTGCACCTCATGATGAGTCGTAAATCGCCCATCAAGAATGTGGATGTCCTCTTCCTCTCTCCAGGGTAGTAGAGAACACGTTATCGCTGGAATTTAGAAGACACTGAGGTGAGCGGAGCCAAGTGGTAAGTAGAAATGTGGTTTGTTGAACATGTACCCTTTGTTGGTGGATGATTGCCATGTGCCTCTTCTGTAACCGAACTTGGTCCTTGAACATCACCTCGAAAGACAATTGTTACAAGTGCCGTTTGAAAGATCTGTCTCGACTAGTCGACCATGCCCGATGACCTCATCGCCTACTCCCACTCCCTCATCAGCGAGTTACTCTCAATCTCCTTATCGAAATCAACAATATGCGTAGAATGGCACCAAGGCTTCATCCCCTCCTCCCGCCTCACAGTCCCAGCAAACCAAGAACACCACCCAAGCCTCGGCCACGCTTCATTAATCTCCCTCCGCGTCTCCCCATGAATCATTCTCTCAAACCCACTCACCCGCGGATGCCGGCCAACATTATCGTACAGCGTCGCGAGCTGGATCAGCTGGCCCAGGTACGTGATGGTTCCGTCGACGCCCGTGTCCTGGTGCCTTACGATGGCCTCGGCGACGGCCTCGGCTTGATCTGCGGTCGCGCCCAGATCCTTCAAGACCTGTAGAGCCTTGAATCCGCCGTAGATGTCAAAGGACATGCGAGTTGCTGTGAGGTTCTCCTCTGCGGTACCGAGGTCGTGGAGGAGGCTGGTTAGGGCCCAGGTGGAGGGGGAGAGGATGGCTGCTTGTTCTGGGAATTGCTCTTTTGTGATGGCCATGCCTGGGTTACTATCAGTCCTTGCGATGGTCTTCTCAAGTACATGTGTCTAGACTTTTAGGTCACTGGCTAACAGCCCGCCTGCACTTACCATAGTAGAATACTCGCATGGAGTGGTTCAAGGTCTCAGGATGAAGACGTTCTTTGGAATACCGTAGCGTCTGCGCCACCACAGGGTCATTCGCAGCTAACTTGATGTCGTTGACCCTGATGTGTGTAGGTTCGTTCAGAAAGGGCTTATCGCCAAAGATTTTGCCGGCGTCAACCGGGACCGCGGTCCATCCGTTAAGACCGACTTCGTCTTGACACATGTTGGACTGGTGGGATATGAAGAGCCTCGGTGGACGAATTAGTAATTAGTGGAGAAAGAGCGTTCACTTTATGTAGTATTCTGTACAATACGCAAGCAGGATGTATCGGGAGAAGGAGCTTCTATATCGACGAAGAAGTCAGGACGAGGATTTATACTCGACTTGGAGCATCCTGTCAGAAACCTCACGTCACATCTCGGGATCTGTAATGGTCAGAGTTGGTCGTCATCGACAGAAAATCGAATGCCAAAAAGTTGCATCTCCGGATGATTACCAAGTGTCACACGTTCCGGTTCTTCGGCCGCAGGCCGCCGCCGGGCGTGGTTCAAACCCACGGGGTCTCCTGCCTGTCAGACACAGCCTGCGAACGAAAGGGCGCCCAATCAAGGTGCAGAAACAGAAACTCGGACCTCATGCAATCATGACAAGTGCCGTAGAGCCGCCCCCGTGCGTTCGAGTTGACATGTGGGCAAGAAGAGACTAGTCATCGCTTGATTGATAATGGCGTCGTGGGGGTAGGTGAAAATTACCTGTTCTGAAGGGATCTAGGAATCTCATACTCACAATGTTTTTGCTGTGGCCAGTCGGGACGTGGCCACGATACTGAGATTACGTAGCACTCACCTTGTTCCTATGGGCTCTGGTCAGCCAGACTGGCGAAGAAGCTCCCGTGGCAGGCAGTTATCATCGTTTACATCATGTTGTCTCTGCCTTCCGGGGCTTCTTAATGTAAATGTGTGCCGTGGTTTGATAGCAAGCAGACTTCATCAATTACCAGTCACAAGGCTTCATGCGTAGGAGCAGGCAAATCAATTTTTTTACGGTTCAAAGTGTATATTTCACTGACTCTTGATCAAGTGTACCCTAGGGTAAATATGCTAGTGGCTTAAAACGCAGAGTCTAAATTCCGCGTGTAGAAGAAGTGAAAAAGCATTATCTGCAGTCAAGCGGGGGACAGAACGGCAGCGGAAAAAAATGACAATCAAACAAGATGACTGAACAGCCATCGCGACGACCTGAAATTGCGGCCTTTACATTTTGCCCTTGCCCTTGCCCCGAGTCTCCAGCATCGGAAACTCCTCTTGCTCCTGCTGAATACCCAGGCCCGAGATATCGCGGGCACCATTTTCCTGCAGGCTCAGCTGCAAAGCCAGCTCCAAATCGTCGTCTCGTGGCGCAGGGTGGCTGGTCGATCCAGCACTACTGAGCAAGAGAGCCGACTCAAGATCATCGTCTCTAGGCGTGGCCTTGCTGGAAGAGCCTGCTTTGGCTTTGGCTCCTGCGACTGGCTTGTAGCTTGCTGGGGGAGACATGGAGGGTGTTCGTTTTGTTGTCTTCTTCGCCGGTTTGGACTTGTACTTAATGGCAAATTCGAAATCACTGGAGCTGTTCTTGCGGGGAGACTGGGCAATATCATCGGTGGCCTCCATCAGAGAAAGTCGTAGAGCTTGCTGAAGTTGCTGTTCGTACTCGTCTTCTTCCTCGACGACGGGAGGCGGCGGGGTGAAGCCAGTAATACTGGGCTCTGGTGTGACTGTGTCCACAGTACTTTCGCTGAAGGACGATACCGTGTCGAAGCCAGCATCGGCAGCAGAACCAGTGTCGCTGGCGCTAGTACGACGCTGCTCCTCGAGTAGGAGTGTTTCTTGAGAGATCATCTCGGCATACTGGAGAGCCTCCTCCTCGGTCAAGTCACCAAAGGCGCCAACGCCAAACCTGTTGCGCAACCAGGCTTCTTCCTTGATGTCCTGCTCCTCCTCTCTTCGAAGCTCTGCAGTCTCAGCGGCAATGTAGCCTGAAACATTCCCACCCTGGCGCCTAGTAGCAAGACGGCCGTGGACATCAGCATGTCGAAGCCGACGTTTACGACCAGGCGGCTGGTGAGTGGCGCTATAAGACCAGTAACGCAGGAAGGCACCGAAAGATGTGATACCACGCAACACAGTAGGATCAGGGTCGAGGTAGATGGCCCGAGCAGCCGAATATGTGTCGATGGGAAGCGCGGGGTTCATCGTCATCATATGACGAGGTACTCGTCCGTTTGAACGTCCATTGAGGGTACGCAGAGGCTCGAGCGAAGATGCTAGCGGGTCCCATGCTTGCACTAAGCCATCATTTCCGCCGTACACCAGGTATAAAGCCGTCAAGGCCAAGCAACTGATCTCGGGGGACTCTGTTTGAATGATGCGAAGAGGGGAGATAACGGATATACTGCGTTGCTCGCGACAATTCCAAACAACGACAGCCCCGTCCTTGGTGCCCACGGCTAGCATTCGAGTTCGTCGACCAGGAATTTCTGTCATCGATTCGGCCGTCTGTGGTGTCATCGTAGGAGTGGCAGCAGATCTGTACCCAAATTGCAGAGGGTCTTCTGTCAGTGTGAGAAGTGCGTGTGACGACAGATCAAGAGCCGACGTAGTGATTTCCGAGTCTCCATGATTGCCAAGTGACATTGTAGCAGCGGCCCATTCATCCATGGAATTGAGCTTTGCCTGGGGTGTCAAGGAGCCGGACGAAGTGGGCGTATTATCGCCCTTTGCCGCAGTCTTGGTGGGCTTGGACTGAGACTCCTGCTTGTAATCTCTTCCCGGTCCAAATATTGACTGCTGCACTTGTGGGATATCCTGCTGGACGGCAGAAGCATCATCCGCGCTGATTTCAGTCTGTCGCGGCGTCTGGAACATGGCTCGGACATAGCGGGTGACGCTTGGGGGGTGTGCCTCATCGAGCCCGCAGTCAATAGAGACGATGACCTCCCCGGCACACTCGGCGTCATCATTTGCGAAATCGACCTCCAGTCTTCTCCGCATATCCCAGCCATCGCAGACCTTGCGGAAATGCGACGGCTTGTAACGGAGGAACTTTTCGATCTCGCGGGCTTCGGCAACAAGCTGCTCTTTGCTCAGATTCATCGCGTCTGCGGGAGATCGAGGAGAATAAGCACCTCGGAGAGCATGCTTGTCGAACTCATCGGGCCGAGCTTGGCGACGGGAGTCATCGATAAGCCGCCAATAGACTGAGCGTCCAGCAAACCATGCGTTCTTGGTGACATCTTCGCCTTTAGATCGCTCCAAGCTCGTCTTCGGCACATCGACCAGGTAGAATACCTCCCCCAACGCGTTAAGCGCCACGGCCCAGACGCGCTGGGCAGTCTTGCGCTTCTGAGTATACTGATCGTCGACTTTGATTGAGACGATCGGAACACCGGGGCTGAGCACCCATCGCGCTGTCATCTCACCATTGGGATGCCGCGGACCACTGCCGTCTCCGTGAAGCGCATACGTAGTGACGATTCCGAGGGTAGAGCCGGTAATAATACCGACCGTGGAGTGCGTGATGTTGGGTACAGCAGTGGATTTGGCAACCCAAACAGCAGAGATCGCTTCTGATAATTCAGGGATCTTAGGAATATCGGGGTAGGTGTCGATCACGCCAGTGTCGCTACCAAGATACCGGCCATGCATTTCATTGATCGGGCGGTAGTAAGCACGGCCGCCGGGAAAGCCTTCGCCGGAGAGCATGCCATAGGGCTGGCTGACATCCATGACGTTCGGGCACGCGGCGGGTCCATCGCCGACACCGTATGGCTCAAGATTGGGGAACACCTCGTCTAGCTGTAGAATAGTGAAAGGGTCTCTGAATCCCCATTTTTCCACCTTGCCAATGAAAGAGTCACTCAAGGTCGCGGCACCGAGGTCGGCAGCGCCGTGAATAACCCTAGGAGCCTTCTTGACAGTGAAGTCGGCGTGGATATGTGTCACGGCCCAGGGCAGCTTCGAGTTATAGGTCAAGACAGCGCTTGTCTTCTTGCTGCTTCGGCCAGTTGCCCCAATGCCGCCAGGCTTTGTGCCTGGTTTTCCTCTGATGAGGCCCCGCAGAAGACGGGTCCGTAGTAGGTATTCGCTTCTCCACGTCGCAAGAGAAGTCAAGCGAGAAAAGTAGCGAGACTCTGAGCGGACGAATTCGAAAGAGTCATGGTCCAAGGGCCCTGCGCGACTCTGCTCGTCAGACTTTGTGGCCAGACTATCGTGACCCGGGAAGAATCGAAGAAAGGCCATTCGCCACGCATGGGGCGTCGTGACAAGCGAGTAAAAACGCTTTGACACGAGAGCTATCGCCGAGTGCGAATCAGGATGTAGGTGAGATAGAACATGGGTCAGAAGCTCTACAATCTATGCGTCAGCGAGATTCCAAGTGTATTCTCTCCGTCTTGTTTCGCATACCATTTGGGAAGTCTGTCAACTGCACGCTATCGGGTCGATTATCTGATCGCTTGATGACCTTGAAGCCCAAGGCTTGACGAGGGGTCGACGGAGTTTGCGCATTTTCGTAATCAATCACTCGCTGACCAGCGACGGCTGAGTGACCTTCGGCAGAGGCCGAATCGTCAACACTCAGCCGACGAAGCTTCTCGTCGAGCTGGGCGGCGCTGACGGCGTCAGATGAGTCACGGCGCCCTCCATCTGGAATAGATCTTGGGGATGCGCTGGCTGTCTCCTCGCAACGAAGGACAGCGACGCCGTTGGGCTGCTGACGCGAACAAAAGCCATGCTGAACTGAGGTAGTGGTGTCCGAGGGGTTGTCTTGTTGATGTTGCGTTTCTGAAGACTCTGTCGGCCAATGTTGCATAAAGCTGTGGAACGGGAGGTCGTGGGCAGGTGGCGGGCGACTGTGCAAGGACAATGTGCACAGTCTTGGGAGATGGAGATGCTATGTTCGAAAGAACAAGTATGCGCGGAATGCGGGAGGATTGCGAATCGATTGCTGCTTGAGGGTGTGATAACGTGTCTAATTCGTGTATGATGCCTAAGTGAAGCTTTTCGTGGTCGCGTTTCGTGACGAAATGACCTACCGTCCCGGGAGATTGCGGGCGATGGAACATCCCCGGGCCGGTGCTTATCAGTGGCGGGGTGTAGCGGTTTTCTTATCGGAATCACTTCAACGCCGTCATCAACACCATCACCAAAACGTTTTGTCAATCAGGTCCACTTTGTGTATGATACAAACAGAGAACCAATCAGTTGGTTGATACTTTTGGCTAATCGATGACAGATATGTGCACGCGTGCTATCATTTCACCTCAGTATTCGCTACTGCCACAACTTCGATGCGCTGAAGCAACCGCAGTGTCAAAAAGTCTTCCTGCGGTAATTGGCCTCGTTGACTCAACGAGAAGGAAAAAAGTACTTCGTGCCTGGCGGAGCTACTGGATGTTGATTACACCCGCTGCGCTACCGCCGCATTTACTCTTACAGCCAAGTCGAAGGCAATCCAAGCATAAAGCAAAAGTCAGCCATCCCCAACGCAGCCTCAGGGAGGAACGACAAAAGATGAAGATGCGGCCAGTGTGGATTGAACACACGACCTTCAGATTAAGTGATTGAAGTTGACTTCAGTCTGACGCTCTCCCAACTGAGCTATGTCCGCCACGATCTTCGAATTGCGATGTCGTAATGACTGGCGCAAGTGGAACAAGTCCCCATTGCAAGTGGGGAGCAATTTCGTAAACGCTGAGTTGGTCTCCTGGAGTGGGTCCTCGAGAGTTCGCCCTTCCGAACGTTGACGAGAACAGAGAGATCGTGGTGGTCGACTGTACCTGAGGGAAACAGATGGAAATGCAGGAACCACTCGGCAGGTGGCCTCCATCAAGAGGGCGAATGACAGGAAAGAGGGGGCAATGGGGTTGCTGAATATTGTCTCTCGTCAGCTTCTCTCTCAGCTGTTTCGGGTTCTCTCCCTTTCAACTCCCGACTCCTCCAGCAGCCCCAAGGTTTCCAAGAAGAATTGATGCGCGAGTGCGGCAGGTTTGACAGGTTTGACAGGTTGCTTTACATGCCGAGACAAGGGACAATAACGGCTGACAACATTCTGACAGATTATTGACGACAAGTTTGCAACCAACGAGTCCACGCTAGCGGTGTCAGTCAGGGCCCGCCGCGTTGGTAAGGATGGCAGTTAATATCGGCCTCATCCTACTGACCTGCTCTCGTTTCTCCCGGTCCACCTCAGCAATCGGGCCCTCTTCTTCTTGAAACAATTTCAACTTTACGGTGTTGCTCGACCGAGTTTCCTCCAAGTTCCCTGTCCGTATGCGAAGGTACTATTAGACAAGAGCACCGGGCCTCTGTGCCCCGGAGTGCAAATCGACCATGGCACCACCGAGCGGCCGACGGTCAGCCTGAACCGTGACAGCCACCGACCACAGCCGCCCCAAGTGGTATCATGAACATCCGGAACGCCCCCAAAGACGGACCTGTTCCGATCCCAGTACCTCGGTTCGGCCTCGTGTCTTCTCAAAGACTCCAAAGCGGCCTCCGGAGACCTTTATTTTCTTTCACGCCTGCTGTGACACCAGCACGGAGTCAACTCTCATCGGCTCAATTACCAAGTATCGAGACGTCTTTGCAGTTTGCACCGCCATCGCGGCACCGCCCCCCATCACCATTTTCACGAGAAGAAGCACAGACACCTTACGGATACACACCCCCAGGCTCTTCAAATCTTGGACACCGACTCATCATGCTGCCGCAATTCCGCACAACATGAGTCGCGCGGCCAAGGCAGAGCAATCTGGCAATCTCAGCCCGGTTACCAACACACAGGGTTCCCGGGGCTGGGCCGCGTAACGGTGCCATGAGACCATGGCCCAGTCCCCTCCCATTTCCCCTTCTCTCTTTCGCACCCCCCTTGGTCCCTGGGCCCTGGCACCTCCAAATCTCCATCTTCGGTGAAGCCCTATGAAGAACGAGTGGAAACCCTCCCCTGGAACTTGTGTGTTCGGATGTCAAGGGTCCTCTTCCCACACTCTCCCGCGCTCTTGACTCTCGCGGGTCGCTTTGTACTCTGTTCACGAGGGCGGATACTCCGTACTAACAAATCCCATCGGTGCGGTCCAGTTCCGTTTTTTTCGCGCTTCAGCCGTCGCTATAATAACCCATGTGCGGCACAGCAAAGACTTACTTGAATCCCCGGGGCTATTTGATACGATAGACCGCTATTATGCCTCGGCGACTTCATCCATACAAACTCAGGGGTGTCAAGCGGCTCAAGCCCTCTCTCGATCATCAGATCATGGCATCTGAGGCAGTTTCCTCCACCACTGAGTCAGGACTTGTCACTATATCCCTCGATTCCCAGATTTTCTCGATGATCTCTCATCTATCACAAAGACCGTGCACTGTAGCGCACTGACAGTCAACTGAGCACACACACAAAAGATTAAGAATTCCCGACTTTCGGGGGCCGGCCCCGAACCACAAGATTCCAACATCCCCCACCGCATGGGTGCCCAGAACGACATCCAGGATCCTAGGGTAACCATACAGATATCCACCTACCAAGTCCACTTCATTCAAAAACGGCCGAGTCAAATCTGTGAGAGAAGGGAGCCACATCGTTATGGTCAGAGTGACGTAGGACTCCGCACAGTCGCCCATTCCCTTGGGCCGCGCTTGGACGGAGAGGAGAGCGCAGAAAGGCAATTCATTCGGGCCAAGAGAGCGTCTCCATTGTATCTGCGGATGTGGACATGGAGCCCACCATGAACAACACCACAGGGCCCCTATCACATATCCGTACCACGATATCGACAGCTACCTAATCACACTCCGCGCTCCTCGCATAACAAGCCCTGGCCTCGACTCGCTCCAAAAGGCTGAACAATCACTACTCCGTACGGGCAGAAAAAACTTCCACACAAGAAAAATCGGTAACGAGAGCAATCCCCGGCCTTGTCGGCACACAAACTCACACACATACGGATACACACATCTGACCAAAGACTACGGATATTAGACGTCCCTTATACGGTACGAGCCAGAACGACGGGGGCCCAGTCTTGCCCGCGGGTGTCTCCTTTCCCTTTCCAGGTCTAGCGTTCTGGAGCCAACGCTGAACGGGGGCCCTGTCAAAACGGCTGTCAAAACGGCTGTCAAAAAGTCAAAAAGAAAGTCATCTAAGAAACTTCCCGATACGTCCAGAAGACTGCAGTCTTCGACTCCTTAACCCAGGATCCAGGGCTCCCTCTCCTGGGTGGGTTGTCCCTGATGAGAAAGTCTCATGAAGAAGAGATCACGAATCAGGGCCAACTGAACTTACTGCCCTTTCTGGGAAAAAATTCTGGTTTGACGCGGGCAAAATACTGCGCCAAGCCCTTTCAACAAGCAAAAAAGACATACACCATGAACACGAACCATCCCCCCCCAATAAACTCCTTGCAAAGTTGCCTAGATTCATCCTAGGACAGGCATTCGAGATGAGCTCTCTCCCGCCGATGCCGTCGTCCATCTTGTTTCCTCACGTCTAGTGTACCTGCCACGGTCACCGCAGCATTCCGTCTTCCCGCGGTCCAGCTTCGGTGCAGAGAGAGCAAGCAAAGCCTGAACATAACCCCCAGTTCAACAGGAACTCAGGCACTCATCCGAAGTTTCCTTACACTAAACTTCTTGCTCAGCCTTCAGGGGCTTCGTCCGAAATGGAGTCACTGTCAACTTTGTAGTATCCGTATGTACTGAGTCTGCAAGTGCAAAGAGAGTTACAATTTCAACGGGGCCAAAATGCAAAGAGACAAAACTCGCAATGCTGATCAGCAGTTGACAACACCCTATTCAGTCTAAACCAGAATCAAAACATAGGATACAACGACCTCACGCCAGTGTCCCTAGCGAAAGAACGATTTTCCCTTTACCAAAACTCGACCCCCCGGTCCGGCGCCGCGGGCCCTCCCGCTCGCCTCTCAACGCCCATCCAAACTTCCCTGGGAGGAACCCCGTTGCAAGTTTCAACTCCCTCAATATCCACCGTCCGCCGGTCCAATCGACAGTGGTGCCCAACGTACGAGCTCCATTGAACCCGAAAAATTAAGAGAGAACACTGGGGAATTTAGTTCTTCGTCACACCGGTACGCAGGGAAGAGAAACAAGAATTCGGACCCAACACACCCAACTTCGCCCTTGATCGCCAATTTACTTCTCAGGTTGCATATAGTCGTACGCAACGGGTGACGGCGCGGGACATCACAGCCCTCTGACAGGGAGACACCATGAGCATGGTTTCTGCAATCAGAGGCTCGGAGCAGAGTCTCCCATCTGCATCCTAGTCGCCTAGTGACATTGCCATGCACGGATACAGCGCGTCAATAACGTCTCTCTGCTCGGTTCTATTTCCATAACCCCTGACCGTAATTCAACTCGTCTACCGGGGAAGCCACGCGCTGCCAGTGCCGCACTGCCCGTCGGTCGTCGCCGCCCTCGTCGTCGTCTGCATATGTACGGATACGTATAGTTGTCGTCGTCGTCGTTGTCGATTGTCGACACACCACAATAGCTGGGGAGCTTTTCTTGCCGTGCGAAAGGATGGAGACAAGACGATGCGTTCGCAACCACCCCACCAAAGGCGTTTGAACGAGCGACCTCTACCGCGGCTCTACGGCGCATCTCCCGACATGGACAGTGCAAACCCCATCCCCAACTAACCCCCCGAACTCCTGTCCCATTCGGAGCCTCGCAGGACTCCTCAACCGCCGCTGACCTGCCCTCTTGGGCACTGGCCGTGCAAGGCCCCGAACCACAGCGCTCTTGGCAAACAATGATTACATGATTACGGAGTACGGAGTACAGAAAGGGCCAGCTATCATGAAACGGGACTTCTTTGCTAAAGCGGTCGAACAACCCTCCGGGGCACCGGGGTCGAACGAAGCACCCAACAGAGTTCACTTTCATTGGCCCTGACTACGGAACACAAGCCGTCGTTGCCTCGTTGGTGGGTGATGACTACCCAGTTCGGCGTTGCCAGCCCGTGTCGAATTCCGCGTTCCTCCCATTGGCGCGCTCTGTCGCTCTTATTGTGTCGTATGAAACTTCGTAAATCTCATAACCCCAACATGCCAACACAGACGAACTTCGGATATTCTTCGCAAGATTCACACATGCAACGTCTGTGTGTTCAAGTGTTTTGTCGTCCGATGCGTCCGCTCTCTGCCCAGTGCCGCCTGGGCAGAAAAAGTATACCCTACTGACCTACGTGCCTACCAAGGCGCCAAGTCAAGGACTCTTCGGACACAATGCCGATGGGGGGAGGGGAAACAAACCCCAGGCTATCGGCGTGTAGACATGCTGTTGCAAAGTAAATCGGCCCTTTGCAGGGACAAGCGCACGTCGAGTATTGAACATCGCTATCCGGATGCCTGCCCCTTGCACTTTGACACAGAGAAGGGATCGATAAGGCACGTTCGGATGATCTTCGCGGCAGTTGTACGCAGTATAGTAGCTAGCTGCTCAAATCTGCGAATGCCTTCATCGCCAGCTCGTGATAAGGGTCTCGAGTATTATCTGTGCACCAGTGAATGCGACACAGAAACTCTAAGCAGGGCCGCCAAGACCCTTGCGAGCCACGCAGTGACAGTCGATAACATGCGTCTGGTGGGCTGCCACGCTGCCTTGGAGTTCAAGCCTTGTGAAGCTCCCCCGGAGCAGCAAGGATGCCCATAAACTCTCGTCAAGCCGGACCAAAATTCGGGTCCGGATTCGCGGGGGTGGCGGACGCCAACGTCTGCGAGCCGATTCACCTCTGTCCCAGCGATGATGACAATCTAACACGGCCCCCAAAAAACAGCAGATTAGAAATACAAAGCCTCAGAACTGGCTTTCACCTGGCAGCGGCCACGGTAATGATCGCCAACAAGGAGAAAGGGAGGGGTGACCGAGGGGAAAACGAGTAGAGATGACGCTTCCTCTCGGCCCGTTCGACAGGGACCGGGGAGGCTGAGAATTCCAGAAGAAACGGTGATCAGATGAAACCCGTGCAATAAGTTCAACGACACAGCTGAACAAGGTAGCGATAGTCTTCCCTTGACGAGACACTCGTGACACTCTCGTATGTTATGCTGTGAAGATGGAGTATTATGTGCTGGATGTACCCTAGATGTTGTTTGCGGAACTCATCGCTGATTTGCAATCTCTAACGTCTGTTAGCAGTTGACTTGTTGCAGAGGCGTAAGAGACAAGGGGAGAGTGTTTTCCAGGCCAATCTCGGTATACAGCGGGCAGGTCATGGGAGACGCTCAAAGGAGTAAACATTGACATATGATTTGGAAGCTCTGATGGAGCAGAATCGACGCGCCCAAGCCCATCGCAGCTACGCAGAGGACGCCATCAATGCAACGAAGCGGTAACCCAAAGTGGAGGTTTGGAGAGGTCTCATGACGGACGCCCCCGACGCCAATCACTACCGAAGACGAGCCGCCGCACCGAAACCGTTGAGAGCGGCGCACCGTCTGCTTGGGAATTTGGATTGACGAGTGGCGTACCTAGATTGAGGTGGTGCGGTGTTCCGGAAATAACAGCGGGCGGGCGCGAAGGCGCCGCAGATTTGCAAGATCTGTTCATGCCAGGCACTCGTAGCGGCTAACGAGACTGGCGGCTGGGGCAGCTGTCGATACGCCGACGGCCTGGTTCGGCGTATCCGTAGTCTGCGACCCTGAAACGAAGGAGGCGACGACGTTTTTGCCCCGCCAAGTTTACAAGGCTGTAGATGTTGTTGATACGTTCCATCTATCCCGTGGCATTTGGAATGAAGGGGTTAGCTACCTGTGAGATTATACGGCTTGGCCTAGGTCTCCGAAGGTGGTCAGGTTTGGGCTGGTGGTATGATGTTCTTAAACCCCAGGTCTAGGTCAGCAGTCTTTGTTGACGTTGTCGTTCCGTACACCTATTGGCCCCCTTGAAATGAGCTGAGCAGAGCTTCCTGGCAACGAGTTTGCAGCTGACTGAAGGATCACCTCCGAATTGAGTTGTTGGTTTTGGCAATAAAACTGTAAAAGACAAAGCCGCTCACGTAAAGGAGCCAATTGGGCAATCGAGAGGTCGAGGTGGATCTGCCCTGCAAGCCTAGGCACGCGTATTGAAACCTATCGAGCATTAAGCTGCCTCTTCGGGGGCAACTCCCTCTGATGCCCTGGTTGTAAGAATCCTTCGTTCAAGGTAGTTGAACTCTCAAGACAATGGTTCAGCCGCTGATTGGCCTCGGACAGGCAGTGAGAGAGGAAACAGATCTTCTCTCCTTCGTGATAGAGAGTTTGCGAAGTCACCGAAAGCCCCGGTTGACGGAGCTGAGAGATGAGGTTGGAAGAGAGACACAGAGAGCGAACAAAGCCCTTGCCGCCCGCATCATCAACCGCTCGGTTGGGGTCTCCCGACCCTCTGGCTCGACTGCCCTAGATTGAACCCGGCACAGTGACAACTGCAGTGTGATACGTCAAGAGGTACTCCGTAGGCCGAACGCATTCAATACCTATCGGCCCTGATCCACGTACATTCAATAAGTCTTTTTTGCATGTCGAAAACGTGCTCCGTAAATAGAGAAAAGGGTCCGACGGCTAATCAACACATAGGAGCGTCGATCCAAGCCAATCTTTCCGTAGCGCCACTCAAACCCGCAGACTTCATTAGTCGGCGGGTATGATCTGCCACCAAAGAGGCTCCATTTGTTGCGACCGAGTTGTCGGTCTGCTGTTTGACCCTTCCCGTTAGAGCAAAGACGCAGGAGACGGAGTCCATGAAGTCCGAGCCGATTCAGACAGCCTGTGACAGCAATCAACAAAGAGGGGAAGCGGCCGCCTTGCAGAATAATAGAAAAATCTTCCTGGTCGATACATGAGCGGGCATGCATACGAAAGGGTCGAGGAGATGTAGCCGCTGCAAGTCATTCGAGTCGTGCGTGACATGACGACACAAAACAGAGCTGTTCGAGTCTTGCTGTCTGGTTACTCTGGTAGAATTGTCGAGGGCTGTCCTTCCACGGGCCCCGCACCATGCAGAGAAAACCGTTTCCAGTAAAGCTTGGAGCCGGAATTGAGGCCAGTTGCATCGATGCTGTCCACGGGTGGTATTCGAGCGGGGCTCAGGGAACTTCTTGAGAGCTTGGGACCGCTAACTCTAGGGGGTCGTCCCTCGGCTGGCAGAACTTCGATAGCATTGCTGAAGATTTCATCGACCCGACTGGCCAGATGGGTTTATTTTCTTTGGAGGGTATCATCGCCGTGATCGCCAACTCCGGCGGGCAGCGGGTCATATGCGGCTGCTATGCGGTTGGTTCTAACAGTCACTGCTCGTTGGCCAGAACGATCCCACGTTGCTCCCATTTACCCTGAGTCGGGGGCTGGTTGATGCACATGACGAGAACACCTGTCTGTATCTAATCCAAGGAGGGTCTTTAGAAAGTCCTGGTCGTCTGCAAAGATGTTTGCACCAATAGTTGCCCGCCTGCAGCGCCGGCGATACGCTTGATTGGATACAGGCAGGTTGGCGGCAATCCGTGCACCAAGACGTGTCATCTCTCACCTGCCACTGAAAGACGTCGTTGCAGCCGGTCTGCATCTTGACTTTTGCCTCGCAGTCCGCATTGGGAACAGGGGTGATAGCTAGTATTCCCGTGTCATGGAGCCTCTGCCCCTTTGTCTGGCTAAGGCGGAACTTGAAAGTTATAGCTCGTTACCTGTCAGTTGCCGTCGGCCGAGTGGGCATGCTTGAGTCGTCCGCCGAGACGATGGCCGGGTCTGGACTAGGTAAGCTCGTGGATGGGATACATTGCAAACGCCTCAAGCCAGGTGTGTCTTTTTGATGAGGCAGCCATCTCGAAGTTGGACCCGGCCGCGTGAGTAGAAGAGGGAGGCCGTCTTCGGTTCGCGTGTCGAAGCAAAGTAAATCGGGTGGCGTGGCGTCAGGGTTCCGTCAAATCGTTTACGGCCGTTTCAGCCATATCTCCAAGCGAGAATCCCGCCCCCGCAGCGCGGACCCAGGGCAACCACAGGGTGAATCGCCCGCCTCCCCGAGGCCCGCCCAGGAGGAGTGACAACAGTGGGTGCCACCGGTATGCAGCTTGTGGTGTTCCGGACCTACGATGCGGTGCACCGCTGTGCAGCTGCGGGGTGGCATGATTCTTCTTTAGTTATGTAGTGTCAGGCAAGTGGGCGAGTGCCTGAATGGCCCAGAAATACTCCTGTCTGCTTGTGGTCGGGTCGCTGCATTGTAAGGAGTAGACACCGGCTGTCCCTGGGGTTACCATGTATGTGGTGTAAGTTCGAGGCAAGTTGTATGGTAGTAAGTCAGTCTATGTGTCTGTAAGGATAGCTGCACCCGTGTCTGATGGGTCAGTACTGGTGTTTGCGCGCACCAAGACCCTAGGTTGACGTCGACGGCGGCTTTGGCATTCGACGTTGACACTGTCCGCCGTCCTGATCGGTAGTGACACAAAGATGAGTCGACATATGGATACGTCGTTCAATGTGCGCATGTCAATAAGCAAAAGATGGCGTAGAAGCACGCATGGAACAATGTCGTTTTGGCGCAAGAGACCAATGAGGGTGGAGAGAACCCCATTGCCCCTTCGGCCGAGTTGGTACGTGTGAAAGCAAACAAGTGTCCTGTGTAGCCGTCCGTGGTGGACGTGTCTGTATTCGTAGTTCCGTACGAATAGGTATCCGCAGTTGGGGTCTAGAATAGAGCAAAGGCATCCTTACTCCGTATTCAAGTATATATCCGTAGGTAGGCATCGGCCAAAACAACCCAAATAGGGCACTTTGCGGGCAAAGACAGTCTGGCAGGTCTGGCGTTTTTTTTTTTTTCCGTGGTTGCTAAGACTTTGCGGGCGGTGATGTCTGACCGCCTCGTGCATTGGCATTGATGAATCGATGATCCAACTGTGCCGTTCGCTGCTTTCGTCTCCCGCGGGCGATTATCCCAATGAGCTGGTTCTGCTTTGGCGATTCCCTGTTTGCCTTGGACCAGATCCTTGGGGAGACCTTGGAGAGGGAGGGAGGGAGGGAGAGAGGCAATTCTTGATTCTCCTCTGCGCGTTAGACAGCTAAACGCCCGTGCCAATGCTTCTCGAACAAAAAAAAAGCATTGTCGTGACCGCT